GGAATATGTAAGCTATTTTCCTGCAATCTGAGGCATACTGTGAGCCTTATTCTCATGTCTGATGACACTATCTCAACCCTAGATTCAACCCTACAAGTTAGGATTCAAAACACTTTTCATGACTTTTCAGAGAGCGTACACAGTTAGGTTACTATAGTAATAATACATGTATTAAAACATGTAAGAATTGCAATTTCTCACAATTTCACGTGTTTTTGTATGTTTGCAACCATACTTTTTGGCTATTCTTTTCTTTCTCTTTTTTTTTGAATCTCAGGGGGATATTTGTACAGGCCATCCTTCAAGAGCTGGGGGGTGCATCCGCCCCCCCCCTGGATTTACGCCCCTGCGTGCTACCCACCCTATCTACGTTCCATGTTTATTGCAGTGTGACTGCTTCGTCTAAGCACTGTATGCATTCCAAACTGTCAAGTGATGACAAAAGCAGTACAAGAACGATTCATCCTACATAAATCACGCAAGTAGGGTACGTACTACAGAAGATATCTCCGGGGCGTCTACGCATACAGCTTCAGGCAACAATTAAGTCACATCGTGAGAGGTCCGATGACAAATCCACGGAGCTAGGATTCTGCCATACACTCATGATAAGACATGATGCCATTATAGATAGTACCATAAACACATATATATATATATTCGATAGATGTGCACAGCTAGACCGAGTATACAGATATGCTCTTGTTAGTACGAACAGCCAATAAACTACCTAGTTTATGGTCGCTTGATTCTAGGTATTATCCTTCCCCGCCCCTCGGTGTTTCGATACGCCAATATTAAGTATAGCAATCGCCACTGGTCGACTCGCTACAGTTACTACTCTCTCGCCATCGTCCTCATTAAATCGGTATTTTGGCGTAGCGCGGTGAACAGACGAACAACGTACTGTGTCGACGCATGCTACTGGTTGGACGCACCAGTACAAACGCTGGCATTAAAGTTACCACGTACAGGTCGCGTTAATCACTATTTGCAAATAATTATTGTTAGCTATGTACAAAATTAACAGATTATTATTAGTGTTGATATCTAGCATCCACGGCTAAACGACCGCATCCTACATTATTGTTATCCCCTCATTTTACAGTCCAGTGTCTGCCAAACCTTTTGTAGTGATTTACTATCTCAGGAAGCTTACTCCGGATAGGTAAGAGACCCGGAACGCGGTTTGTGTGAGTTATAACAGTCGCCCCAAGTACATTTATGCTAACAGACAGCTCTTAGCTAGCATGATCCCCATGCCTGTCCATATATTTCTACGATGTTCCCTTATACTATGTGAATCACGCGCGTAAAACGCCTATAAACACGTTTAACATGCAAGCAGCATATCTGTTACTGCGCAGAACATTCTCGTGCGTGTTTTACGACGGTTGTTTGTCGCCATTGACGCATCGCTAATAACAGCGAAAAGTTACTATGTGGCTGAGGGTATAGTTACCCTAGTTTCACGTCCTTACCGATGTGTGTAATATGGCGACTTTTGTTTGCCTCAGGGCAAATGAAAGTGCAACAGCCCCAGCCAGTTCACGTCTTAATAATGACGATAGTAGCAGGAAGCAGCAGCAGCAGCAGCAGCAGCAGCAGCAGCAGCAGCAGCAGCAGCAGCAGCAGCAGCAGTAGCAGTAGTAATAATAATAACAATAATAATAACAATAATAATAATAATAATAATAACGCTGATGATAATTCGTAGCATCGAACACATACACAAAGAAAACCCGATTTTAGAAGACGATTTGACGCTTTATGTAGAATTCACAGTATACAGAGAACATCAGCTTATGTGACAATAACAAAATATACAAAAGGTAACGGTTAAACCTTTCGGTTGTTGTCACGGTAAAAGGACCGCGTCACTGCCAAGATGCCAAGATGGATTATGCGGCTGAATAGACAGAGCATATAATTCAAATAGACAGAGAATAGAATTCAAATAGACAGGAGGAATGAAGTAGCAAGTCGCTCCAATTCGACCGAGTTGTACAGAACGCAAAGTCGCGTCGCTTTTCGCCGGAACGAGCGTGCATGTCTCCCCGCACTCCCGCGAGAAGAAAGGAGCTAGGTCGGCCTGCATTTTCTCCACTCGTCGATCATAGATTATTTTTAATTAGAGATATAACATGAAACTAACATGATATGTTCAGTACGGTCTCCTTTCACAAACAGCCGCTACCGCAGTTTTCCTTGCACATTTTCTGTATTATACATTATTTTACTCTCGATGAGCGCCCTTAGTCCGCCTGTTCTGTCTGTCTGTGTTTGTCTGTCTTACCTGTCTGTCTTTTTCTCTTGGTCTCTCCCGGTGTGCGCGCGGCGATGTGTCTTGGTGCAGGTACGGGTTGGCAAAGTGCTCCTGATGTTCTACATGCCTTAGGCGAAGTCTGAATTACGTATGCGTACATGTAGGTAGTACGCGCCTGTCTAGATGGAAGTGAAAGCGGGTACGGCGGTTAT